TTGAAATATTTTCACATAATAAATTTAAAAATAAAAAAATATTTTTAATAAATTTTTTTAACTTTTAATGATCAAGGAAGAAGAACCCAACATTTATCGGATAGCGCTGCTCCTAACGCTCGGCGGCGCTGGCCCTAGCGGCTGCCGCGCGCGCGGTGAAGAGAGGAAAGGAGGCATATACCACGAGAATCGGCTGAAAAGATGAAATAATTCCGAGGCCTGATTTAACAAGAAATAAGTCAAAGAGATTTATGTAGATTTTTTTACTTTTTTTTTAATATTTGTTTATTCATGATACATAATGATACATATATTTATTAATGTGATTATATTTAACAGAAATATGAATATATTTAAAGAAGAACACGTGAAATTTATAAATAACTGAAAAAAAGATATATAAATAATTATTTAGTAATAATAATTAATAGTGGTCTTCCACGCTACCCATGAGGTGCCACTAATAGCGCGTTAGATTTTTTTTAAAGTGGATCTTCGCCTGTAGCTCTATTATACCACTTTTTATTACATTATATATTTACAAAAGATATATATATATGTATACCGGGTGGGCCATTTTAATCTATCCACGTAAATTTCTCCGTAAGTAAGCCAAATACAGAAAAATGGTTCAGACAAAAGTTGTTCAGGACAATAAGGGTCACCTATTTGTGTTAGTGACTTTGACCTTAAAGTCAATTTTCAAGGTCATTTAAAGGGTCAGATTTATTTTTTTAAATAAACCCCTTATTTTTGATTCCAAAATCTAATAGCTGGTGTCAAGAGCTTTTCAAAACACTATAATGAAGTTATTTTTCATTAAGAACTTTTCGAGTTATGAGGCTTGTAAATTACAGTATTTTGACATAAAATACAAAATATCTTGTAAAACATTCAATTTTTAGGAATCTTACCTTAATACTTTTATGCATAAAATAATGAGACGAATGAATTGATATAAAGAAAACACATAGTTGCTTTCAAGAATAAATAATAATATGTAATTTGCAACATGCAACTGCATACTTTTTTTTAAAACCAACCAATAACTCTGACCTTCAAATGACCTTGAAAATTGACTTCAAGGTCAAAGTCACTAACACAAATAGGTGACCCCCATTGTCTTGAACAACTTTTGTCTGAAGCATTTTTCTGTGTTTGGCTTACTTACAGAAAAACCAATGTGTTTTCTTTATACCAATTGATTTGTCTCATTATTTTATGCATAAAAGTATTAAGGTAAGATTCCCAAAAATTGAATGTTTTACAGATATTTTGTATTTTATGTCAAAATACTGTAATTTACAAGCCTCCTAACTCGAAAAACACTTAATAAAAAATAACTTTATTATAGTGTTTTGAAAAAGCTCTTGACACCAGCTATTAGATTTTGGAATCAAAAATAGGGGTTTTTATTTTAAAAAATAACTCTGACCTTCAAATGACCTTGAAAATTGACTTCAAGGTCAAAGTCACTAACACAAATAGGTGACCCCTATTGTCTTGAACAACTTTTGTCTGAAGCATTTTTCTGTGTTTGGCTTACTTACAGAAAAATTTGCGTGGATGGATTAAAATGGCCCATCCTGTATATATATGTATATCTTTTGTAAATATTTAATGTAATAAAAAGTGGTATAATAGAGCTACAGGCGAAGATCCACTTTAAAAAAAATCTAACGCGCTATTAGTGGCACCTCATGGGTAGCGTGGAAGACCACTATTAATTATTATTACTAAATAATTATTTATATATCTTTTTTTCAGTTATTTATAAATTTTACGTGTTCTTCTTTAAATATATTCATATTTCTGTTAAATATAATCACATTAATAAATATATGTATCATTATGTATCATGAATAACAATATTAAAAAAAAGTAAAAAATCTACATAAATCTCTTTGACTTATTTCTTGTTAAATCAGGCCTCGGAATTATTTCATCTTTTCAGCCGATTCTCGTGGTATATGCCTCCTTTCCTCTCTTCACCGCGCGCGCGG